AAACAAAGGAGCAATGATTTTTACCTGAGAATGAAAGGAAGCTTCATGGCCGTTTGGGACGTGAAGCTAAAGCCTCAAGTATCTTCTTCCTAGGACCCTGTTTCATTATAATTAAAGCTAACGCCTCGCATACAATATGGCATATGTATGTATGTATGTATGTATGTGTCAGCCGATCATCAATGAAAGAAAGATGGAAAAAAAACCAATGGAGGGTACCATAGGTATTGTGAGATCCTTTAGATCGCTTTCCCCCATCTGCCTCAGTGCCGCCATATCCACCTGTTTTTACATTGAAAACACCCAATTATTCCTTTATGAAAGAAACAGATGAGATAGATGCCATTCTCATCTCAACAATACTGTCATTGTTTCTTTTCTCTATGTTTGAAAAAGAAAAGGCAAATGCCCAGATGACACTAAAACGAATTAAAGTTAAAAGGATCTAAGGAATGAATCGCCACTTACTTCCTCAGCCTTAAAGAGAACTGCATATTTTCCAAGCCCAAGTGAATTTAAAAGGCTATCAACTGTTTGATGCTCCTCCACCTGTGCAAAATTCAGGATAGACAAAACATATATACGTCTATAAACACGAAACATGATTTCAAACTGACCATTCATCTAATTACACAAAAATTGCAAATACCCAATCTCTCAGGATTTTCTGTGTCCAGGAATGCTAGATGATTTGAAAGCATAACTCACATGTGCCTCCTAGGCCATAATTCTAGTGTTAAAAGAATGGGCAAACAACGAACAGGTAGAACGAAATCTCATTTAGAGGTACACAAAAACAAATAAAACCAAATGACAGGGATTTAGAGCATACAGTGAAGGGAGTCTTCTGAAGAGCGCTACCAGGTGGAGGAATCTGGGCCGAAAATGCAGGCAGTGGAGGCTTGGCAGCTGAAGGAGGTAGATGCATCCTTGCTGGGTAAGGAGCACTGATTACTGGTGGTTGAGCATTTAATACACCCTTGACAGTATAAGGTGATGCTCTTACATCATCAAATACCCCGCTCAAGGGTCGTCCACCGAAATCCTTAATGTTCCTAGGTGGTGAAGAAACCCGAGAAGAACCCATGTAGTTTCCAGCATTCCTAGGAGGGGATAAAACCCTAGGAGCATTCATGTAGCTTGCAGCATTCCGTGTTGGGGACAGAGCCCTAGAACCACCCATGAAGCCTCCTCCATTCCTTGGTGGTGATAGTCTCCTAGAACTTCCGATGAAGCTTCCACCATTCCTCGGTGGTGACATGTCCCTGGAAGTACCCACAAACCTCTGGGGAGACCTACCTTGCATGTGATTCAAGGTCCAGGGAGAAAAGGAATTGCTTGTGGAACCCATCTGAGAGAAACTGTTTGCAGGTCTTGAAGGAGGTAACAGACTGTGCCCACTAACATCCCTGGGCTCATCCATACGAGGTCGAGTATCAAAATTACGTGAAGGCTGCTCAGTCCTGGAGATCTTTGCACGAAGATCCATAGAGCTGCAGTCATCTCTCTGAGCTCGTCTCTGGGCATTTTTTCGCATCAGTTTGAGTCGGAGATCATCTTTACCGATCTGCAAACCTTAGTAACAAAAGGTGCTGGGTCAGTTACCACAAACACGCCAAGACATCCAAATAAATTATAGCCATACCATCAGCACCGAAACTTGCATCTCCTCTTTGCCTGCGTACCAGGAAAAACGCAAAACTTCATTTTAGCTCATGCCTTGCTTCAACCAAATATATGGCCTACAAACCCAGAATCCGAAGAACGAAACCATGGCAGCTGTTACTCGCTAAAACCCATGGATGACCAAACAATCTAGACTTTGTGATGATAGGCGAAAGTTCACAAAATGGGAAGCCATGGACATTCAACAAGCAGCAAAACATAGCAGAAAAATCAAAATCACCTTTTGTTGCTGACATCGCTTCCATGCAAAGAAGAACTATCTAATCGACTTCCTAATCTCTCTCTTACAGGTCGCTTGGTTCCAGCTCTTGGATGCTCATAGGATTTGCCATCGTCATCTAATTCTGCTCCTGCTCGCTTTATTACCTGAGAAACGAACGTCAGATATAAGCAGTTCTCGAGAAACTAACTCATTGATCCTGCAGCACTTACTAAGAACAAAATGCCCACATTTTTTACGAATTTAGAACTAAACAGTCCATAATACATTGGTAATGATTCTTTTCCTGAATTCCCATGCCCTCCCAGAAACCCGTCCATCTCGGAAGCGCCATTACAACAATCTGAGAGCTCAGCTCACAAACATTGCGGAAGCAGGAGGTTAACGTGTCCCTCTTTCCCCGAGGAAAAAAAACTCAAGATACAACCTATGAGGCGAACAACAAACCCTTGCAGGAGAGGAAACGTACCTGACCGCTACGTCCCAAGGTAATGGTGATCCTACTCGGCCGAGAAGCTTCTGACATTGAAAATTCGAAGGAACAGACCCTACGATATCAACCGGAGAAAAATTGTCGCTGACAACTCAAGGTAATCAACAACGACAATAAGCATCATTATCACCTCCTCGAAAACCTAGAACATCACTTCGAGAAATCGTAGAGGAGGAAATTTTCCCAAGAAAGTGAAATTGCGGAGTTCAACTTCAGAATCTAGAAGCCGGCGATAAAATAACCGAAGATAGAAACGGAACGACGAAGGTTTAAGCCGGCGAACGCCGAGGAAATGGGAACGGAATCTGAGAGAATCGAAAAAGCGAGACAAGGGGAGATGGGGCAATCCTCTGTCCCTATTGGCGGCTTCGGTTTCCGTAACAACGAGGTAGGGCCCACATTATGAAATGGATTCTATTTTGGGCCTTGTAACTATGTCCCAATCCCATATGAGAATAGGGCCTACATTCTCGATCTCCATTTTATAATATATTAAAAATCAATTATGTCGAATACCCAATCTCAAAAGAAGAAAAAAAATCAATTATGCAGATATTTATCTGCCAATTGAGCTTTCTAAATATACCAACTATGGTCAGAATTTCTTGTCGGAGAAAATAGCTGAAAATATGCCTATCTAAAGCAGGACATATTTGTTATTAACAAAACAAAAAGAACATATTTACAGCAGTATCCACGGGGACAAAAAAAAAAACAACTGTAAAAGGAAGAAACCAATGTGCGATAAATTCGCCCCAAATTTTTAAATCAAAATGTCTAAAAAATAAGCATATTATAAAGAAATAAAAATAATAAAACGTAATGGCAACCAACCAACTATAATCAAGAAAAAGAATAATATAAATCTACGATAGTGACCACAGGACGAATCCAACGGTCATGGAGAGACTGATCAAATTCCATCTTGGACCGTCCATTCTGCCAACACCGCCGAAATCGCTAGACTCTCTCTGCTGCGTGGACGGTGGAGATGAGCCGTTGAAGTTAGGATTCGTACCGTACAAGTACTGGATCCCATCAATGTCGTCCCTCGTCAACTCGACCTTTCTCCGTCCCGTCGAGATTGTCGGATACATGATCGAATCTTCTATCGTGGAATGTCCTAACCCTAGAAGATGTCCGATCTCGTGAACCGCCACAGATTCCAAATCCACAGCTGACGTCATCGATAAGATACCTCCGACGTCACCGGAAACCACCCAGTTCTCGTCGCTGTCCAGGTGGAAACGCCCGCTCGGCGGCGAAAACGCGTGAGCTAGCGTTCCGAGAACGCCGTCGAACGGTTCGCCGTCGCCGTGATCGCCGGTGTAGAATCCGATGGTGATGTCTGAGTCGGGGAACGTCTCAACGCGCGTGAACGTCAGCTTCGTCACAGCCGCCCAACGCGCAAACGCGCGTCCGAAAACGCCCTTGACCTCCTCCGTGAGAGCGTTTCGAGGGTCGAACGCGTAGGTAAGCTGTCGCCTATCCTCCGGCCAACGCGGCTCTCCGGGGAAGAGCGAGTAGCGCTTCAAGGCGTGGAAACGTTGACCGCGACGGCCGGCGAAGTTGACCTCATATTTTTTCCCGCCATGCATGGCGGAGGAGCCGTTGACTATGTCGGGGTTGCCACAACGTGGGATGACGAGGTGTCTGACGGTGAGCTCGTCGAGTTCTCCGGAGACGTTTAGCCGGAAATTTCTCTGGTACATCTCGATGGCGTGTCGGAGGATATCGTCGAAATCATCGGTGAAGTTGCCGGAGAAATTCTCCGGGATGTAACCAAAGCGTTGGAAATACTGTTTAAGCTTGTAGAGGCCATCGACTTTGTCGCCGGAGCGGCAGGCGGGGGAA